AGTAAAGAGCTGGTGGCTGGTGGCAACTCCTTTCTTATGTGAACTCTTTGGCAAGACGGGGCTTCTTTAGGTGTGGTTTTAATAATTCATTACATATCTTCCCAGCCTTGATGAATGGGAGCCCACGAGAAGCTCTCTTACTGCTTTTTAGAGGATTGTCACAGAGGTAAGAGCTACACAAGAACATCCAAATGAACAGACTCTCAAAATGCTTATCTTCTCAAACTTAAAGAAGAGTGATGTCTTAGAGCAGCTAAGCTGTAGTAAGTGAACAGTACACTAACTTATATCTGGCTTTAATGCCATAGATTAGTAGATTCAAAGTGACTAATCTTATAATTCCTTTTCTCCCTAATTCTCATACAACTTTCTTCCTTGTTATCCAAGGAACTCAAATTGCAAATAACTCTGCTTTTCAATAGAACTTCAGTCTCAACATAAGGGCATTAAATCTCTGGAAACCTGCATAGCCATGTCACAACATGCCTTCTTGAGGTCCCATGGTGGAAACTGTGGTTGTGTGATATGCACGGTAGTTACCCACTGACTGGTGATGGCTTGGCAGTTATACATGTCTTTCTTGCTTGCAAGGGGATTTTTGTAATTAAATCTTTAATGCTTTTGTATGTGAAAGCTGCTGATTTTCTAAGATTTTGTTGAAATGAAGGTGTATTGATTTTATAAAATGGGAGGTATGAGGTTGTGTCTTCCTCAGAATGTTGGAAGACAGTGCTCATGGAACCATCCACAACTTTCTTAGCAGGAAGGCTTTTAATTAAAGTTGCATTTTCTTTAAAATATCTCACTATTTATATTTTCTATTTCTAATGTTTTTTAGAATTTTATAAATTGTCATATTTCTATGAATTTTCCATCTCATTTAGCTAATGTTTATAAGCTCCCGGCAATCCATCCTTTCCATTTTTGATATTGATAGGTAGTGTATATATCTGTGTAGTAATGTATTGGTTAATAGCACACATTGATTAAGGATAGCCCAAACCAAATTTTTTACTAAATAATTTATATGATTCAGAAGTTATGTTTTAATGAAGGATAATACAGTGAATAACTGAAAATATAATGTTCTCTAACTATGTTTGTCTTCATATCTTCAGAAGCATTATTAACTGCTATTGTGATTACTATCTTTTTCTATGATAACCTCCTGTGGTTGGCCTTTTTGTTTTAGCCTGAAACTAATGCCTGTATATCATATAATCAGGCATATTATAAATGTATCTTTCAGAATGATATAAAGCTATACAATATCTAGAATTAAAAAATAATGAATCCTTAGAAACACACGCATAAAACAAACAAACAAACAAAAAGAAATATAAATCTATGTGGAATTTTTTTCAATTCATATCAACAAGAAAGCAATAAGAGCAAATGTCGCTGAGGCTGTGAGAGAATAAAAAGGAACACTATTGTATTGCCAGTAGAAATATGAATTAGTTCAGTAACCATGAATGTTAGCTTGGAGGTGCCTCAAAACCTAAGAGCAGAAGTCCCATGTGATCCAGTTATGCCAGTCCTGTGGCTCTCCCAGAAGTTCATGTCAGATGAAGAGGCAATGAATGGCATGACTGTAGTATTGCTGCAGTCTTCACAGCGGCATGTCATAGAATGGCATGCCTGTAGGACTGCTTCAGCGTGTGCAGCAGCCACGTCTAGAATGGCATGCCTGTAGTATTGCTGCAGTCTTCACAGCGGCATGTCATAGAATCGCCCCCAAGTTCCTCTCAGCAAATGAAGAGATGAAGCAAATGTGCTATACAGAAAAAATAGAACATTACTCATCTCAAAAGAATGAGTCATGTCATTTCCAGAAAAATGTGTAGGATTAGAGATTGTCATCTTCAGTGAAAGCCTGACGCAGACAGGCAGTAGTCATGTGTTTGCTCTCATAGTAGAGACTGGTGGTGAGGGGATCATAAAGTAGAGTGCAAACCACCGGAAAAGCAAAAAAGGTTGAAGAGAAGGGGTGGCAGGTATGTGAGAGAGTTGGGTAAAATATGATGGAAATATGCCATATCTATCTGCAGAAAGGACATACTGAAACCCATTACTCTGTACAATTAATATATATATATATATATATATATCAGTAAGACGTCACCCTCAAGAGGCTTTGAACATCCTTGAGAGGTGTTCTGATGAAGATCCTCTATCCTGCAAGCACCCAGCCTTTGAATCTGAAGCCATGTCTCTTCTTGCCCACATCCTACAGAGGTGAACCATTTCCCAGTCTAACTATTGATTCTTAACCTTCTCCTAATGCATGTCTGATCTTAGTCATCTCCTATTTTACTTCCACTGCTCTTCTGCTACCTCTCTTATATTTGGGGAGGGGGGTTGCCTGATCACTGTTGTTCTTTGGCCTCTTTTTTTATCTTTGGGGTGGTGGGTTGTCTGGTGCACTTCTTGACTCATAATGGCTTCATATTGTAATATTCTGCCAAATTGTTGGTGTTTTAGTTCTAGTTGCTCTTCGTAACTTCCAGGTCATGGTTCAGCAGGTCCCACTGCTCAGCACTGCTGCTGACCTGCTTCCCAGATTGGTCCTCCAAGACACCCCCTTCCTTGCCCTTTGTGGATGAACTTCTTCATGTGTGTTACAGTATCTAATGTTTACATTGTTTATAACTCAGCTTATTTTCCTTCACTTAGTACATCCTTATTTTTCTCCAGAGTAACAACTTATGTATCAATTTAGTGAGTAGCTATTTTCAGAGTGACACATACCTCTGATGGTGTTTCATGAATCTTTTGACTGTGTCAATGATGCTATACAAAAAAAATGCTTATTTGTATCAGTTTTGTAACTTGACATTCAGCCTGAGCATCACTAACTAATCACAGATATATAACGATTTAATAAACTTATGAATGATATAGCATTTAACTTATCCTTGAGTGGAGTAGATTAACTAAGAAAAAGAAACTATTTAACAGCCCAGTATATAAATTTATAAAGTGAAAATACAAAATTTCAGGAAAAGCTTTCATGATATATATAATGTATGTATGTGTGCGTGTGTGTATGTATGTATAATATATTCCTTTTCTCTGTATGTATTTAATCTTTCTCCACCTTCATCACCCTCTCCCTCATCTTCTATGTACTCTCTCTCTCTCTTGCTCTCCTTCGTTATATTCCATGCCTGATCCAATAATGATTAGTCAAAATATATGTGATATATCTCATAAATAATGCTCATAAAATAATGCTAAACATCTAAACATTTTAAATGCTACAGGAGTCACAAAATCTTGTAAGAAATTAGTCTTTTTGCACACAAAAGATCAAAGTCTAATTTGGCATGACGAATGAATGTGTGGAGCTCATTTACTTTACACAACCTCACTTAGAGATAGGCCTAGAGTCACAAAGTGGAAATGTGCTTCCATAATGTAGAATATCTAAACTATACCTACACTTGATTCTTTGGCATTGCGACAGATGGTCTGTAACTTCTGGGGAATTTCCCTGCTCAAAGTTAATAAAAGAAGCCCCATGTCTTCTGATGAACTAATACTTAGCTCAAATAATAGTGGATGCAAGCAAATCTGCCACTGAATGATGGCCATTGGCTGTCAGTAGCATCTGGAGGGCATCCCTATTGAATAGTTGATGCTGGATGTCTGTCAAAGTCATCAGATATTTTTCTTGGGCTGGCCTTTTGCTTCTGCAGGTAGAAGAAAACATGCAAAATTCAGGACTGAGTCAAAGCCACAAGAAGAATATTGTCTTGAGTGATTAATAATGATTGTTACCAGACAGGATCTATAATCACCTCGGAGGCAAACTTTCACTGTGCCTGTAAGGTGTTGTCTACGTTACATTAACAGAGGAAGAAGGACTCACCATGCATGTAGGAGGCACCATTCTACGGACTGGGGTTCGGAACTGAAACAAAGCAGTGTAAGCATTCATCTGTCTTTGTTTCCTGCCTGTGGACACACTATGACAGGCTTCCCCAAGCCCCTGTCCCCATGAGTGCCCTGCAGTGATCAGCTACACCCTGTGAATCCTACCAAACCCTTCTGCTTTAATGTGCTCCAACAGTATATTTTGTCACAGCAATAGCAAACGCAAGGAATACAATTTCAAAATGAGATTTTGACATTCATCTGGGACCTAACTCACTTGGAAACTTGTGGATACAATGATTGGGAATGAGTTTCAAATTCATGACAATTACTGAAGACAACAGCATCATTTGCCTTGATTTTCTCTTCCATCTTTCTTTTAAAATTTTATTGAGAATTTCATACAATTTATTTTGCTCATATTCACCTCTTACACCAAACTCCTTCCAGATCCACCCCTTCCTCCATATCCACCAAACTTCATGCTCTTGCTATTCAAAACAAACAAAAGCTTCATATTCGCTTCACATGTCTCAGTACACTTAGGTGTGAGCTGGCTTAGAGAGGGAAAAACTGATCTTCTCCCGGCTGCTATCAAAGGCCAGCAGCTCCTCGACTCGACTAGACATGGAATTTCCTGACCACCTCACCCTTTCCATGATTTGGTGTTTCTTTAGATTTGGTTTGGCTTGACCTTGGGAAGGTCTTGTGCATGGTGCCACTGTGAGAGTGAGTTCATAGGTGAGTTCACCTCCTGTATTGTGCCCAGAAAACATTGTTTCCTTACTCACTGCCTCTGACTCTTAGAATCTTTTGGTGTTCTCTTCTGTGTTGACACCTGAGCCTTGACTAGGGGATAGTGTTGAGATGGTCTAAGCATTCCATTTAGGGCTGAACACTACATAATCTTATTCTCTGCACTTGGATCAAGTATGGTTCTTCCTATTAACTGCCAGCTACTGCAAGAAGCTTCTCTGAGAGCGGCGCTTTGGGAAGCACTGGCCTTAGACGGGAACCGAGGACCGGGGTCTGCGGCCCGCCGCTCTCCGGCCGCGTCTCCCAGCCCCAGGGCCACATTCTTGGGGGCTCCTTAGCTTCGGCTGCTGTGTTTNGCATGGTGCTTGGTTAGTGTGCATGAGGTATCCTATATTCAGTTCCTGGCAGTGGCAAAACAGGAAAAACAAAAAACAAACTTTTTTTGAAGACAGTCACTATGTTGCTGAGGCTGGCCTCAAACTCAAGAGAATTGCTGTTCCTGCCTCCCCATGTGCTGGGATTAAAGGTGTGCACCACCATTCCTAGCTTATGTTTTTCCCAGGAAGGCTGAACAGTTTTCAGTATTGTCCTATTAATTACATCAGTAGAACTTTGAAGAAACAGAATCCTGGTTAATGGTGATTCCTGGCTATTAGAATCATATACCAAGTCTTTTTCCCCCTTGGGTGTTTATTTTTGTCAGATTGGCAGTGTCCTAGCAGGTCTTCTAAGGAATACCAGCCCTTTTTTGTTTTCAGTTTAGGGAACAACTAATATTGAATATGAAGGTCAGCCTTGGCCTTCTGAGTAGCTACTGTAGGAAGGTAATGCCCCTTCAGAGCTGATAACATTTTAAGTGATGTCCTTTCCTCTCCAGATTTGCATCCCTGGTTGCCGTCTACATCATGGGGGGTTTCTTATACCAGCGACTGGTGGTGGGAGCCAAGGGAATGGAGCAGTTTCCCCATTTGGCCTTCTGGCAGGACCTTGGCAACCTCGTAGCTGTAAGTAGCAGTTCATTTGGGCTAAGCCTCACATTGGGATGTTCCCTTTGTGGTCCGTGGAGAAAACCAGTTGTCACAGTCTGAGACCATGTGATCGCACTCTAAAACAGATATTCTTTCCTTTGCTTTTCCCTGCAGGATGGTTGTGACTTTGTGTGCCGCTCCAAACCCCGCAACGTGCCTGCTGCCTATCGTGGAGTTGGGGATGACCAGCTGGGGGAAGAGTCGGAAGAAAGGGATGATCATTTGCTACCAATGTGATTGCACTTTTAATGTCCAGCCACCTCTTCAGTCCCCAAACCAAAGCATACACAGCCAGATTTCTCAAGCCGTCTCTTCGCATCTCTCGCCTTGCCATTAAAATTCTTGCCTTCCAGTGGGCTTTTGATTTGACCCTAAACTGCCTCCCTCTGCTCCTGTTGTTTCTCTTCTGCACAAGTACATAGGGTCTTTGGGGAAGAGCAAAGACAGCTAAATGGGCAGGGAGCCACGAGCCCTGTCTGTCTAAACATTTTCACAAGTTGAGACACTGGATTTCTTTAAAAAAGACTGCTTGTAGCTCTGCCGACTTCCTGTTGTTGCTACCCCCATAGCAGTCTCCATGATGGACTGTGTAGAGCTGCTCTGCAGTGCTTACCTGGCTGTAGCCCAAATACTGCCACTTGCTTTAGCCTGCAGCGAGTCACTAAAATGTCCCTTGCGTGGGATTAGGACATGAAAGAAATGTGAAATTTCCCCACTACTGGCTTCTAAGGTGCCGTCACATTGTTCTGGTCTTTCTGTGGCTGGATGGCTACAATTGGGCTCTGGTTGTGGTTAGAAATCCATATGTAGCCCAAGTACGTAATCAGGCAGTCCTATCCTAAAGGAAATAGACCTATGCTATAGAAGCCCTAGAACCTGTGTCCCCTTGTGGTGGGATTGCTTTGCTTTTTTTCCGTTTCTTGCTCATCCCTCTCCACTAGTACTTCCAAACTTGTATTGCACTTTTCTCACTGGTCTGTAGTTTGGCTTTTTATATTTTTCCCAATCTTAAAGAAAGGGAATGGAAGCAGACGTGGACATGGAGGGTTCTGCAGTTCTCTGCTCTGGGTAGGGAACACTGCTGCCCCTGTCCCTCCTGCTGGCTCAGGGAAGTGTCTTACCCATGTACCTATGAGAAAAAGTTTTTAATCCTCTCCCACTTCTGTTTAGGCCATGTGCCCAGAATCACATAGTGAACACCTAGGCTACTAAGTAACAGCTCAGCTCATCTGAAGACAGGAGATGTGGAAAGGCAGGGCTACCTGTTACCTTAGAGAAGGAAACGATACACTCTAACTTCTCAGTACCCTTGCAATGGTAGTGGGCGTTTTGTTTTCTTTCTATATTAGAAAATTAATGTTATTTTTTAAAAAGGCATCTCATTTGTTGTTTGCATCCTTTCCTGGTGATTTAAATGAAAAATAATACACCACATTTTTTATAAAAACATAATAATTAAAAAACATACAAAACAACAACAACAACAAAAAGAAGCTTCTCTGATGTGGACTGAGAGATGCACTGATCTATGGGTATAATTATGTCATTAAGAGCTGTTTGAGCACTGTGTCCATTCAACATTATAATAAAAATAGGTTCTCACCTGCAGCCTGTAACCAGTACAGCCACAAGTTCTTGGTTTCAGTATTTCTTCCTCTTATCAGCCAGAGCCCAACATGTTAATAAATATCAATAATAATAAAAATGATGTGGTAATGGTGATAAATTGTTTTGTACTTTCAAAGTGCTGGTTTTTTTCTCTTTGGTGCCAATTGGCATTCGATAAATATTTATTGAGTTATGGTTATGCTCGAAGTTCCTAGAAACCAAGTTTTATGATCTACTTTAGATTCTCTTAACAAATATTAATTTTTAGCCTACCTGATTTTCCTGCTCCTAAACTGAATTATCTGTCTTATAAATTGTTCAGTCCTCAGAAACAATCTAATTTTTCTAGCTGTATTAGGAAAAATGTTACTAATATAGAGTATACATCTTCATGATATAAATTAGAACTAAGTAGAAGTAATTGTTCTCTGTAGGACATATGATACTTTATGAGAGTATTTTCAATAAATTGATTAAAAGTGAATCATTAAAAAATGCTTATACATGCAGGGAGCTTTGTTTTACCTGATTTCTGAGGATTGAAAGAGCAGGTATCATCTAAGAAAATGAATGCTGTCACCACCTCTTCCTGGATTGCTGGGCTGGGGGTGTACCATCACCCACAAACTCAAGCACAGGCACACACAAACAGGAAGCATTTCCAACCCATTCATCCTAAAATAAAGAGGAATTGTGCCTCCCATCATGCTTTACAGCTTTTTTATGTAGCAGTCAGTAAAACAATCCAAAGGAAACTGTGACTTCCAAGTGCACTCAGTATAAATTAGTTAATGGAGTGTGATTTTAGATACCCCCTGGTACACATTGATAGCTGCTCCCCTATAGAACCGTAGGGATGGGAGCATCTAGCTTGTTTCCCTAAAGATCAGGCACATACTTCAAGCACATCATGTTTCAGACCATGTCAAACACCTGTGGCATCCTGAACTACTTACTTGTAAACATGCTGAGTGTTGGACTTTGTGCAACAGCTGCTCATTTCCTTCTGCTAGTGCTCAACTCTTCCCATACCCAGTCCCACAGTCTCAGCCCCGCAGTCTCAGCAACATCCTGGGCTCTCCAGACTGCTCATCTTTCTCCCCCAGAAACATCCCAGCTGCAATCTGAGTGTATATAACCTGGATCCTGCTCTTTACAAGTGGACCACGGGAACGTTATAAAGTGACACACATATTCTCAGGTCTGTGGAGAGCCTCACACAAGCGTTCACTCATTCACCTCACACAAGCATCCCCTCACTCACTCCACACAAGTGTTCCCTCATTCACTCCACACAGGTGTTCCCTCATTCACCACACAAGCGTCCCCTCGCTCACTCCACACAAGCATTCCCTCATTCATTCCACACGAGTGTTCCCTCATTCAATCCACACAAGCGTTCCCTCATTTTGATTGAAGTTCTTTATGATGTTTTGTGTAATATGAAGGTTGTTGATTCTGTATGCAAATCGTTCACCCTGTACGTTTCTGGTTGGAAGCCTAGTCTTTAATGGCTGAGCCATCTCTGTAGCCTGTTGTTATCCTTTCTGAAGTTATTTTATTTAGTCTGCTTGAGCTCCAGGGGATTTCTAATATTACAACACCATCATCTTGAAATATGCATAAAATTTCCCCTCACCTGTTCTGAGTTGATTTCTTTTACATGATTTCATTGGCATAGCAGCTTTCCTGCCACATTCTGCATTTGGTAAACCATGACTAACATTTTCCACCTTAAATAATATAATTTTATAATATATGCATAGATTGTTCATTTAATGAATATGTCTTCAAGGGGATTAGGATATATAGTAAAAGTGTGTTGTGTCTTATCTAAGTTCACATAGCAGGACTAAAATACAATTCTAATACTTGATGCTTTGTTACATGAATCTATGAGTTAGTCTAGATCTCAGTAAAATAAAGCAAGTAAATAAAGTGGAGAAATGTCTTCTAAGTCTTTATTTTTTGGTGTTTTATGGCTAATGGATATTGAACTTTATGAGAGCGTTTTTGCAAACCTTGAAGTCAGTTGTTTGATTAGTCTCCTTTATATCAATGTGGTCTGTGATAATATTGAATGAAACCACCTAAAATTCCAAAATGCCAAAATTCTTCCTTATAAAATGCTTTTTATAAAACTCAACATGCATTCACAAGACAGTACTGAAGATGGAGGAATTAAGAAAGTTTCTTTTTCCTTAGATCTGTTAGTTACTTTCTTTAGTTTGTAGACTTTTAGGCTAACAAGAATTAAAACGTGGGTGCTGTGCTTCTTGGGTGTTGTGTACTATCTCCTTTAGTGTGGTAGGATTATTTTACTTTATCACTTCTCTTAGTACTTCTACACCTCTATTCTGTAGTCCTTTTGGTCGGTAGCTCTCTTTTGTGAAGCTGCCTTTTTGTTTGTTTGTTTTGCTTCATATAACAGTGCTTTGATTGCTTTATTAAAGTAGTTGAGGTTTTCTTCTTTTGTGTAGAGGATGGCTAGCATTCCTCTTGGGAGTTGCCCTGTGGAGTTCCCCTAAAATGTCCTAGCTCTTCTGTACAGTCCACTCCCTTTAAATTTTCCAAATCAAGTAGAAACAATTTTGTTCATCTGTCTTTAACGAGAAACAAGTCCATTTCATGTAGATGTCCTCTTTTGAGCTGAGAACTGAGAATACCCACCAATTCTTTATGAGAGGATCACAGAATTGAATTTTCCACAAGTGACCTGACTTAGCTAATGTCAGAATAGTATGACAGGCTCCTTGTTAACTGCTGGTAGCTGGAACCATAAATAATGAAGGAACAATTTTTGACAGCTCAAAATTCATCCAGAGTATATTCTTCGCAATCAAGTTTATGTAATTCCAAGGGTTTTTATAGTCTACCTGTGCCCCAGCAGTAGTGTAGTATTACAGTCCCTAGCACAGTGGTTCTCAACCTGTGGGTCAAGACCCATTTGGGGGTAGAATGACCTTTTTACAGAGGTCACATAACAGATATCCTGCACATCAGATAAGTACATTACAACTCACAACGGTAGCAAAATTACAGTTATGAAGAGCAACAAAAAATATTATGGTTGGGAGTTACCAAAACATGAAAAACTGTATTAAAAGGTTGCAGTATTAGGAAGTTGAGAACTACTCTGTTAGCAAGATACTGCAGTTAATCAAAGTTGCCATGAGAAGACAAATGTGAGAGTAATTTGTGAATGATTTAACATTCTAAATTAGTATACACACACAAACATACACATATATTCACACACATACACACACATGTATACACACACACATACACACACACACACACACACACATATATATATATACACACACACACACACACATCAGGCAACTAACAGCATAGTTACTAAAAAACTTCTCCTTCACTTTCTTTGCATTAAAAACTTCCTACTTGAAGTTTTTAATGCAAAGAAAGTGAAGGAGAAGCTTTTTAAAAACACACAGTGGTTTTTCAGACCCAGCCGGTCTCGCTGAACATAGCGGACAATGAGGACTACTGAGACCCCAAGAACAATGGCAATGGGTTTTTGATACTACTGCACCTATTGGTTTTGTGGGAGCCTAGGCAGTTTGGATGCTCACCTTACTAGACCTGGATGGAGGTGGGTGGTCCTTGGACTTCCCACAGGGCAGGGAACCCTGATTGCTCTTTGGGCTGACGAGGGAGGGGGACTTGATTGGGGGAGGGGGGGGGAAAGGGGAGGCGGCAGTGGGGAAGAGACAGAAATCTTTAATTAATTAATAAAGAAAT